AAAAAACATCTATTAAAAAGTTCAACACACAAGTTTCTTGCTCATTCTTCTTGTGATGAATCTGCATTCCGAATGAGTGGTAGAATCAAAATATGACTATTCAAAAGTGCTTGTAATGAGTTTATTTGAATAAAGATTATTTCTATTTCTATTTCTACATGTACACCCGTGCGAAGCCGGGGCGAGTAGCTAGTTTGAAAAATAACCTGGACAATTAACAAAGCGCCATCTAGTCCCGCAGTAAGAGAGATTAAGTAATAAGGGGGTGAGGAGGTGTTAGAAATGGGATTTAGGGGAGCCCTTGACCCAGTCTCTAAATTGTGGGGGTGTTAGAAATGGGATTTAGGGGAGCCCTTGACCCAGTCTCTAAATTGTGGGGGTGTTAGAAATGGGATTTAGGGGAGCCCTTGACCCAGTCTCTAAATTGTGGGGGTGTTAGAAATGGGATTTAGGGGAGCCCTTGACCCAGTCTCTAAATTGTGGGGGTGTTAGAAATGGGATTTAGGGGAGCCCTTGACCCAGTCTCTAAATTGTGGGGGTGTTAGAAATGGGATTTAGGGGAGCCCTTGACCCAGTCTCTAAATTATGGTATCCTAATAACTCCTGATAAATTAGCCACAATGTACTTACAGTCCCCAATAGTCCCAAGCCAGATGCTTTTTCGTCAAATATTTCCACCCGGTGAAAAACTTCTAAGATGGTTAAGATTCTTGTGTGTGAAAGACTATGGTCCCGAGGGTAGGTTGACAACTACCTTAGAAGTTTTGGACCGGTAGGAAATCGGTCACCCTGACCTGTTGCTGACTTGCAAACTTTATTCCTTTACTAGCTGTGCTCGTGACTACATCCGCGTGGAATAAAGAACAAAAAAGTTAATTAGAATAGAATAGAAAATCATTTATTCAAAGAAACTTAATTTAAGCACTTTTGAATAGTCAACAATTTTTTTTAATCTACCGCTTATTCGGAAAGCTGCCTCATCACAAGAAGAATAAGCAAGAAATTCGTGTGTTGCTCTTTTAAACAATCCTTGTAAGTTCACATTTTACAAGTCGAAACGTGTGAATACAAACTACCAACCAGCAAAAACAAGATTAAACAGTCGTAGTGATGATTAGAGATTTTTCTAAAATAAAAGTAGCCTAACTTACTACTACCTATACCTAACAGTGATCTATTATTGCTGACACAATTGTTCGTGGAATCATTTTGTCGACACAATAAAACCTAAAATAATATTTAATTTTTAGTCTCTATGTCTGTATGCTTGTGAGTGCTAAGAGAACGCTTTACAGATCTGGGTAAGGTTTTGTACTGTGTTGTATTTTGTGTTTGTGTATTTTGTTTTGTATTGTGGTATACCTTACTTAAATTTAATTTCATTTTAATCTGTTTATAAACCGAAAAGATGGCTACGAAATAGCGGGTTCAACTAGTACATACATATATATATACTAGCTGTACCGGCAAACGTTGTTTTGCCTTAAAATAAGTGTTGGCCGATTCTCAGATCTACTCAATACGCTCACAAAATTTCATGGTCTAGCGGTCAAGCACACCGCTTTACGACCGACGGTCGCGGGCTCGATTCCTCGCACGGCACAAATATTTGTATCCATGGGTATGATTGTTTGTATGAGTCTGGGTGTTTTCTATGTGTATTTACAAAAAAAAATATCAAGATTCGGTCAAGAAGGTTCGGAGGAGTATGGGAACGAAAACTGTGACACGAGATTTTTATGTATATATATATATATATATATATATATATATATATATATATATATATATATATATATGTGTATGTGTCCAATTATACAAGTATGTGATACAGTCTGAGATAACAGATACAGACCTGACCTTCAGATCTGGTCTGTTATTGATTTTTCGAAAGGATTTAGCGGTCGTCGGGTCACGATTTGGCAAGGTCCATCTATACATATAAATAAAATTGGAGTGTCTGTTTGTAATATTGAAATAACCGTTTTTTACGACATGTATATGAATATAAATATGGCACATAGACCAAAATAACATTTTGTACAATTTTGTCTGTCTGTTTGTTCCGGCTAATCTCTGAAATGGCTGGACCGATTTTGACGGGACTTCTTGGCAGGTAGCTGAATAATATATAATAAGGAGTACTTAGGCCCCGCGACTTCGTCCGCGAAAAATGACGATACTACCATATAACCTTTCATCTCCCCTTACAACCCTTTGCAACCCTTTTTTCGCATTAAAAGTAGCTACGTCCTTTGTCAGGGTCTAGAACTCTAGACTATTTAAATTTCATTTAAATCGGTCCAGTGGTTTCGGCGTGAAAGCGAGACAGACAGACAGAGTTATTTCGCATTTATAATATTAGTAATGATTTATAAGTTAGTTTTTAACCTCGTATTATAACATAGTACATGCAAATCGAATATAATCTCATATGGATAACAATTGAAGCGTTAATAAACAATCCGCATGACTTGGCGCAGCCGACGTCATGAGTATGATATATAATACAATCAATTACAAACAGACACTCCAATTTTATTTATATATACAATATAAATAAAATTCGAGTATGTGTTTGTAATATTGAAATAACCGTTTTTTACTACATGCATATGAATATAAATACGGTACATACTTGATGTATGTACGTAATAAAGTTTTTTACAATTTTTGTCTGTCTATCTGTTTGTTCCGGTTAATCTCTGAAATGACTGGACCGATTTTGACGGGAGTTTCCTTGTCAGGTAGCTTATGTAAGAAGGAGTAACTTAGGCTACCTTTATTTTAGAAAAAGAAAGTTAAACTCCACGCGGACGAAGTCGCGGGAACAGCTAGTGATATTCACAATCACACGTGTTTTCCTGTATGTTTAAATCTGATTGTACCTACCTATGTACAATACGCTACATTCTAGTTTCCGATAAAGGAAATTAAATTATAACAGACAGTGGTCAAAAAGCCATGTCTATATCTATTACAGTAGTGCCATAAGTAATATACAAGCTGTGAAAAACACTATCGCGTTAATCATAAAAGATAGATATACGGCCTTATTACGAAAAATCTGTTAAAACTCGGACTCCGTGATATCGTTTATTTTATGCTTATGGTAGCTCTCCACTTATGGGTTAAACGTAAATTTGAATACATACATATGAACTAGAAATTCTAGCAACTTGGTATGGAAATTTACTCATCATCTGCTTCTTCCATATCCCATTTATTTGGGGTCGACCTAATATGTTTTTCTCTTCCATTCATCGCTCTTCGCAGTCATTTCGTTATTCTTTACGATTTCTTACCATATCATCTTTGTCACAGTCCATCCATCTCTTTTTTTACCTTTCTCTGCCCTTATAATCATCTAAATTCATATGTAACAACTTCTTTCAAATATTATCTTCATTCCTACGCATTACATGTCCATTATTGCCCATATCACGACAGACGATTCTCTTTAACCTCTCCGACATCGGGGCCACTTTCATACTTCCTCTAACATTCTTTATTTTATCCAATCTTGCCACACCACTCATCGAAACGTGAAACGTGGTCTAAATGGTCGTGGTTTAAACCATTCCTAAAGTTAATACTTGGAATAAACCTACCATTATTACGAATCCAGATCTAACAGAGGACTACTTAGTACTACAGTTAAATCGTACGAATCACGATTTAGAGATAAACTTCATTTTGTAATAAGGAATACATTGGTGAATGGTTTATTACTAGTGCTAAACCAGGTTTATCTTTTTGTAATAAGGCTGATACTGTCGCAGACATTTTGTTAGATCATTTAAAGAGGAATAATTCTTTCATACATATATTTTGGATAACTTGAACTGTTCTCGAAGCGTACGCAACGGAAGCCCTCAAATATGAATATTTTTCCCCGTTTTTGCAACATTTTTTACTCATGCTTCGCTTCTATTGGTCGTAGCATAATGTTATATATCTGAAAGCCTTTCTCGACAAATGGACTATCCACCACAAAAATATTTTTTCAATTCGAACCAGTAGTTCCTGAGATTACCGCGTTCAAACAAACTCTTCATTATCATTATATCATCACACATATATCATTTCTTTCACACATAGTATGAAAGAAAGTCGCGGTCGCTGTCTGTACGTCCCTATGTATGCTTAAATCTTTAAAACTATGCAACGGATTTTGATGTGGTTTTTTTAAATAGATAGAGTCATTCAAGAGGAAGGTTTATATGTATAATACTTGTACACCCGGGCGAAGCCAGGGCAAGTAGCTAGTTATAGTTAAAAACAAAGTCGCTGTCTGTCCGTCCCTATATGCTTAAATCTTTAAAACTATGCAAGGGATTTTGAAGTGGTTTTTTTTAATAGATAGTGATTTAAGAGGAAGGTTTATATCTATAATACATGTACACCCGTGCGAAGCCGGGCCGAGTAATAATAATAATAATAATAATAATAATACCGTTTATTTATCATTCAGAAGGATCGTTACAATATTATTTATAGTTACACTTTCAAGAGAATATCAATCGTTTTAGTATTTCTGTGTCTTCCTGTCATCTGAACTAGCATTAGCCGGATGACAGAAGCCAGTTCCTTCCTAATACATGCACTTTTATTATATATTGATGAGAACTATTATATCATGACTAGCTGTCACAGCAAACGTTGTTTTGCCTTAAAATAAAAAAAAATTAGGGGTGGACTACCCCTAACTTTTGGGGTGATGAAAAATAGATGTTGGCCGATTCTCAGACCTACTCAATACGCTCACAAAATTTCATGAGAATCGGTCAAGCCGTTTCGTATGGGAACGAAAACTGTGACATGTGAATTTTATATATAAGATATATATATCTAAAGATATTTTTTTTTAAATTAAAGTAGCTATTATAATATTAGTATAGATATGATATATGTACAGAATGTAATGTTACATTTATGATGACGTGCTCACATATAACACGTGTATGACAAATAATTACGGCTTTAGCGCACGCACTTACGTGGCGGATCTACATAGCGAAGCCGCAAATTCAGCTTCCCGACAACCTCATGGCCTGGAAAATAATTTTTGTATACATACATTGGTCTCAGTGGTTTAGAGGTTTAGCACTTTACTGCCGATGGTCGCGAGTTCGATATCTCGCATGTTGCAAACATTTGTTTTCCTGAGTGTGATTATTTGAATCAGTCTGTGTGTTTTTTATGTATATTATATATGTATTTACAAAAAATATATAATCAGTAATTAAAATCGAGCTGACCATCCACTTGATGGAATTGCTGTTTTTAAAGAAAAAAATAGAAAAGACAATAAGAGCTGTTTTTAAAGAAAAAAAATAGAAAAGACAATGGCATCCATGGAGACGACAAAGTCTACCACAATAAATAATATGTAATAAAGATTTTACAATACATCATAAATCTCGTATCATACACGTATGTATGTATGATATCATACAGTAGCTATAACCGTATGATGTTGCACCTTATCACTGAACACATACAGCATAGTCGTAAAAACTATTTGGTTGATGTTCTTATCAATTTATTGCATATTAAAACTGCACGCACATATAGAAGTTATACAGTAACAGTTAAAACATACAATAATACATACTACGAAGATAATATTTTAAGGAAGGTGTTACATATAAATATAACACCTTACTTTTACTTTCTTGTTATTTCTGTATAAGGTGTTACAACATATAAATGTAACACCTGATGGATATGAATGTGGACGGTTATAAGGGCAGAGGAAGGCCTGCAAGTTGTTTCAATATTACAAACAGACACTCCAATTTTATTTAAATGTATACATTTTATGTATTATTTGTAAATTGTGTTATGTTGACAATAAACGAATACTGACTACTTATTTATAAAACAAAATTATTGTACACGTCTCAATTGTAAAACAAGTATATATGTACATATTATATCCAATATTCAATTAACAGATACTCCAAGTTACGAATTAATTAGTGAAACGCTAGTATACAAAGCTTTGAAACAATGGAATCGAACAAAGGACGACACGTTGTCTGTAGTTCAGAGTAAACAAGCAGTTACACGCGGCTTCATAAAATTATAAAATGAATAAATGATTTTCTATTCTACTCTATTCCTTTTCGTGTTACAAACATTACGACAAAATAATTAAATATATATATATCTGTTGCGGTGAAATATTACTATGTTGTTGGTTGAAACGATGTATATTACAGATGAAATAGAAATAGAAATAATCTTTATTCAAATAAACTCATTACAAGCACTTTTGAATAGTCATATTTTGATTCTACCACTCATTCGGAATGCAGATTCATCACAAGAAGAATGACCAAGAAACTTGTGTGTTGCTCTTTTTAATAGATGTTTTTTTATATAAATAATTACAGTATAACAAGTAGGAGGCATGCGATAATCAACATAGAAATCGCTACGATAATTGTGTTATACCATAAATGAATTTTTCGCTTCAAAAGCTAGGAGTTACTATATGATATATGTAGAATTATTAGATAATAAAATTAATAGTATTGTTTGATATATTTAAATAATATTGGTTGACACCTAACGAAAATAAATGCTACGTATCTATCTATATCTATACATATAAATAAAATTGCTGTGTCTGTTTGTAATATTGAAATAACCGTTTTTTACTGCATGCATATGAATATAAATACGGAATATACACCAAAAAACCACTTTTTAAAATTTTTGTCTGTCAGTCTGTCGTTCTGTTTGTTCCGGCTAATCTCTGAAACGGCTGAACCGATTTTAACGGGAGTTTTTTTGGCAGGTAGCTGATGTAATAGGGAGTAACTTAGGCTACTTTTATTTTAGAAACATTATTTTATTTTAGAAAAATAAAGTATAATTCCACGCGGACGAAATCGCGGGTACAGCTAGTTTGACATATAATACAATTTTTAAATGTAAATTCATTAATTCTATTGTATAATTTGTACATTACTAAAATTTTTGCATGCCAAAACAATGGCGAAATATGTAGACAATTTTATTAATACTGATATTCTTTTAATATTTATACCATATTTCATGCAAATAAATACATTTCATTGCAAAAATATCTATCATACAAACAATACATAGTATAAATAACAACGTATACATTTTCCAAACCTACCTATTTTTAGGAGTACTCACTTAAAATTTCCTAGTGTACTGATTTTTTATAGTGTTGATATGAGAATACATAAAATAAACTTTATTATCATATTATTAAATTTGGAAAATATCTACAATCTAAACAGTACATAGTCAGTACGGATAATAACGTATTTTTCAAACCTACCTATTTTTAGGAGTACTCAGTTAAAATTTCCTAGTGTACTGATTTTTTATATGATATTAGTTTTGATTTGAGAATACATAAAATAAAATTTAAATCTTAATAATATTATAAACGTGTGAGTCTGTGAGTATAGATGGATGTTTGTTACTCTTTCATGCAAAAACTACTAAACGGATTGTGATCAAAATTTTCAGTAATATCATTGCATAGTATAAAACAATATATCTGTCCGTCTCTATGTATGCTTAAATCTATAAAACTACGTAACGGATTTTGAAGCGGTTTTTTTAAATAGATAGAGTGATTCTAGAGGAAGGTTTAACATATATATAATACATGTACACCCGTGCGAAGGTGGGGCGAGTAGCTAGTAAAATTATAAACACAAAGTTTTTGAGTATGGATGAATATTTGTTACTCTTTCACGCAAACTACTGTACGGAATGTGATGAACCTTTACAATAATATAGCGTATACACCGGAATAATAGAGAGGCTATAATTGTAAAAGATATTATGTAAATTTGGTGAAATATGTAATAATAATGTCTAGTGTGACGCAGACGAAGTTGCGCGGGTCAGCTAGTATATTAATATTAAAGGAATGTATATAATATACGATGAACTCATAGTATGAATAACAACGTAACTTTCCAATCCTACCTGTATTTTTAGAAGCACACAGTTCTTTCCTACTCACTGGTAGTTTGTTTTGGTGCTGTATTTTGGCCTTGTAAAAAGAAACATCTGGCACACGAGTGGGCGCATGGACGTGGACCCGTGGAATCAATTTAGAACTATTAAAGCCTTGGGTTTCAATTGCGGTGCCATAAAAATGTATTATCTTCAATTGCGACCGTGTAAGAACTACCATCCATACTAATCTACATAAATAAAATTGAAAGTCTGTTTGCAATTTTAAATTAATTAATTTCGAAATAATTTCAATAACATATCAAGTAACCCAAAAAATATGTATGAAGTGTTTTTGATAACCGCGCGAACGAAGTCGCGGGTACAGCTAGCCCATATATAATAGAGAAGGAGAACACCCAGACCAATACAAACACTCATACTCAAATTCAAATTCAAATTAAAAAATCATTTATTCATGTAGGACATTTTAGCCGCTTATGAACGTCAAAATTTTACATTATATTTTTTTTCCCTACCGTCCAGTTCGGTATATAGATCCAATTGAGAAGAACTGGCAAGAAACTCAATAGAATTACTTTTTTTTTTAATCCAGTTTATTTACAATGTATAGGTATTTATATAGGTGTCTATGTCTAACAATAAATGAAAATCCCGAACATGAAAACTATTGCCATGCACGCTCATTCAAGTAATCGTTTAGTGAGTAATAGGCCTTGCTCAGTAAATATGATTTAACAGATTTTTTGAATTTATTTAAGGGTAATTCCAATATATCCTTTGGTATTGTAAATTTTTATACCTATTCCCATAAAAGACCTATTGACTTTTTCTAAACGATACTTGGGGACAGCAAGTTTGTCTTTAAATCTAGTATTAATATTATGAATATTGCTGTTTTTTGGAAATAAGTAAAGATTTTTCAGAACATATAGGATATTTGAATATATAAATTGAGAAGCAACGGTGAGAATATTTGCCTCTTTGAATTTCTCTCTTAGTGAGTCACGACAATCTACTGTACTCATGAATACAAATGTTTGTATCATGTTAGAAATCGAACACGCGACCATCGGAAGTAAAGAGGTGAGCTAAATCGCTAAAATATCGAGAGGACAATGGTGCTCAGAGACGTGTGAAAATTGCTCTCGAATGTTCCCAAACTGATTAATTGTTCAGATTACAGCGTTGGTTGAATGTATATTCAAATTACCTCCGGCAACAGAGACAACTGCGTGTGATAATTAATTTATCACAATGAATAAAATATTGTAATTAACAAATAGGGGCCGTTCAAGTATTACGTAAGCAGATTTATTACAATTATTTACCACCCCCCCTCCTCCCATCACCCTTGTCAGTAAAAAAAGCAAAGCTCTTACCCCCTCCACCTATGCTTACGTAAACATTTTTCAATCGATGTATAGTTTTTTTTAGCAAAGACAATGTGAGGGTTGCCATTCGTGTAAAAAAGTAAATGACTACCGATGACGTAATCGTCATCTAGACTCCCCCACCCCCATGTCATCCAAAATAAACAAAGACCCCCCCCCGCCCCGAATAGTGCTTATGTAATACTTGAACGGCCCCTTAGAATTTCTTAGAAACGTCATGGGAAATTAGATGCAGGTACTGGGGAGAGCCAGGATGATCAGATGATGAAGACGTAAATAATCTCTGGGACTGATTAGGAAGGTAGATTCTGTAAAGACTAGGCATGTTATACAAAAAAATATCGATCAACAAGTACCGATGTATGATACACAACGAATAACTAATATCGATAGATCAGGTTGCAAACACTAATTAGACTTTTTGTTTCTTGCAATAGCATATGCTGGTAGTCACTCTATTCTCCCAAATCTGAATTTAAATGACTGTGTATTATTGTAAACATGTATAACATTATATTGAAAAGACTACGAGTTTCTTATCAGTTCTTCTCATCTCGAAATCATTCCGAACTGACGGTAGATTTGACATATCATAAGTCTGTAATAGACCTACATGAATAAAAATATATTAAATATTGATTTTTTTTTATTTTCATGTTCAAATCAGTTTTTCCACATCCGAT